CCCCTCTCTGGCTTAATCCGGCGTTGAAATTTTTTGGACTATGGGTGGCCTATTCTATACATTTGAGTGAAAGAGAGCTTTGTTGTTTCACTTTTGCTATTTCTTGTTTAGTGTTCTTTGCCAATTTGTGCATTTTTGTTATACCTACTTTTTATTATTTTTTGTTTTTGTGCTTATCAGTTAATCTATATTTAAAACATTCGTATTATGCTATCTTTATTGTAGTATTGATTTTAATTGAGGTTTTGTAAAATACTTTACATTTAGCGTAGGCAACAACATAATGTGGTTATCAATAAAACCGGCAACAAAAACAAATATACCGAAACGGAGCCCTTTTACGTTTAAAATAGCTCTCCTGGAACAAGGAAACTTCCTGGAAATATTGGAATCGTAAATGTGAAAAAGGTTGACGCGTCGCAGCCGTCAAGCAACGGCGCGTGCTCGAGGGTATTCCGAGAAGCGAACGCGCTCCACAACAGCTAATAACCACTGTATACAGATACCAAACAGGTTCTGGATATAATTAGCATCTTATTATATCTTGACTTAGAGTTGAAAGTTGCAAGCAAAAACAATATATCGAAACTCTACCATTTTAAATAAGGGTCTCCGACAGACCTTTAATACTGAAAGACTACGAAATTGTTTTTGTAAATATTCCATGAACTAAACTTATGAAGATTCAAATATTAAATAGGTTCTGAGTAAAACAAAAGGTCTTCATATATGTTCTACGAAATCGTCTCTAACGAGGTATTTTAGCTTGTCACAGTTTAAAGTTTTCTGTACTAACTAGAAAACCACATTCGTGGTTGCAAAATAATATTTGTTAATGAGTTGCGTTATGTCAATTATATTTTAAGTACCTATGCTTTATTTATTGCAATTACAATCGAGTTAACAGACTGACTTGACTAGTATTTGTACATAACTGGTTAATAAAAAAAAACAATCATGTATTTTGATACCGAACAACACTCTAAAATTCATCTTGTACATATATACATCCTATACATAAACAAATAATAATAATATTATCTAATATATAATATGTTTATTTTAGCTAATCACTAAGTATGCATATGCTTTTCATAAGGATAAGTAGAGATTTATTAAAAAATGGGCGATTCATTCATTGGTACAGTCAATAGTCAGGTTTTTTTCAAAGAATTTTAAATCTTCATGTAGAGTTCAATATCGATTGCGGTTTGACATTTTGTGGTGTCAGCCTGATCTTTTCAAATCATACATAGCTTTGTGCTTAAATAGATGGTTATTTTAATACTAACTAAAATATTATTACTATTATTTTAACACCCTCTTGTAGATATCTACGCTAGAAAGCACGCAGTACCCCCAAAACCAAAATGGATATTTAAATTAATTTTGGTTTTGCGGGGTTACTACGTGTTTGCTTTCTAGCGCCGATATGTACTTACATCGTATTTAAAATAATATCTGATACAATTTATCATACGAATATTTTATCGATGAACAGAGATAACGATGTGTATGTTTTTTAAATTGCCAACATAATAATAATACTAAAATACTTATTGAGTAGAAAGATTTTTTTTTTGTGTGTGAGATAAACAACAATATATCAGTTTAGTGTATTATTTATCTATTTAAAAAACTTTACAGTACCTTATTTTCTGCTACAGTTTTTTAATATCTCGTTTAGTGCCAAATAACTGAAGTGTAGGTGTAGGGAATGCACGTTCGCGTTGGATATAATCCAAAGGCGATCCCTGGGGGCCAATTCTACTGCATAAATTTTGTTTAAATCGAATCGAAAACGGACATACGATACAATTCCAGATCTATTTTAGCTGGAATTGTATTGTATGTCACATAGTAGAATAGAAAAACCATTAAAAACTGTAGTTTCGTTTGGTTTCGATCCGTATTCGATTCGATTTAAACAAAATTTATTTAGTAGAATTGGCCCCCTGAGCTCTAACTCGTTATGCTTTGTGACGTTGTAATGCGAAATTATTTCGGGATATCCAGAGATCATTGGCGTATTTACATTTTTAACCTTCATCTCTTCTCTAACGTTAAATTAAAAAAAATCAAACATTTTGGAGACGTATCGGTATTTATAATTCATTAAATGTTATCACTATGTTGAATAAATAATTTTTAGTGAGTGCATATTAAAATGAGTGTCGACGAGGAAAGACTTATAACAATGAATACCTAGATATTTATTTGGTCAACTGGTACAACTCTGACTCATAAGTATTATTGTCACATTCATACATATGGCGTATTTTGGTCATTGTTACGAGTGTCGCTTGATTCGCAGAGAATGACGCCATTCTCTTAATACAACTGGTGTTTCTTATTCCTTTCTTAAACACAGTAGGTATTTAATTGATTAATGTTTTTTAATTAAATGTCTCGACAGTTTTATTTTGTAATAAAACTTAATTTCGTCATATAATTTGAATGGTGACTGATTTCGATATGATTTTTATAATTTTGATAAATAAAAACTACTTTGGTATATTGTTTGGAATGTAATCTAGAAACACGACTGTAAGTTCGCAAAGAAATTTGACAAAATAACGACGATGGCGGAAGCTTCCAATTATAAAATTATTTCATTCTGTTTTCTGTTAATTACAAGAACCATTAAGGGTATGCATAAGCCCATTTCGGTGGGTCCGTAATATAAGATTGAATTTAGCTACATGAATAACGATTTTGCAAAATTCGCTTCACCTATCAGACAATTTTATATGGCGGGTAAAATTTTGAAGGATTCATCCAATGTGACCGATAGCTCGTTTTTGAACTTTATAGAAATTACTTAGGAGCGTCATGCACATCAGCTTCGTTTGTAGATGTAAAAATTGAAGCGACTCTGAAATGGAGTTTACAGTATCCGTTGTTTCTATGGCAAACTCGGTTTCTCCGGTTAAACTTAGATTTTGCGTGTAATTATCAATTGAATCGAATAGCGAGTTCAACATAAGAACACGACTATGAGAAAAACTAATGGGTGTTGGGTTCTATCACTTCTATGGTGTAAATCGGCAACGTTTAAAATAGTAAATTACATTTAAGCGATGTTTAAAAACTTTTCAAGAAAAGTTACATAATACAGTAACACATTGGAAATTCTCTATATTATTTGGCTCTCGTTAAGAATTCACTTCTTTAATTAGGAGAGCGTTTATGGCGTAGTACTTTCTTCTTTTTAAAGGTATTTTATTTTTAAGCGTATATTATTTACACTTCTGTGAAATTACTACAAAAGAAAACAATTTCTCAACAATAATAAGACTATGAGAATAGGTATAGGTAATCACACACATCTCATAATTACCGATATCGTTGTCTAATAAGTTGTCATCGATTCTCGTGATTCATAGTTGTTCGATGTAAACGAGGTTTATTAGTTTATTAAGTGTTTTTGTCATCGATGTATTAAAAAAATTAGGAACCTGTTTATAGTTTCATTGTAGAACAATAATTTCGTTTATTACTTCCACAAAGTACTTACGGATAAAGTTAATTAAGGTAGGTTCACAAGTTTTTATACTTAAATTACTTTATGGTAGACTACTGTCTAAACTAAGCATTAGATAAAAAATTATACTTCGTGTCACCAGGCTCATATTAACAAATACGGGTGTAGATAGTTAACGAAAATAAATTCAATTTTTTTGGTAGTAATATACTTTCACCGATAATCCCTATTTTATGCTTAGTATATTTTATAATATTGATTAATTATGAAAAACTATATATTTTATAAAAATTTATTATGAAAGTTTAAGTTTAACCCTCTTACGTTATGGGTGTGTACGTTAGTTTCCTGTATTAGAATATACGGACCATTAACACCTAGTCGCGAATAAGCAGTTTGTTATTATCTTTTTGATTAGTCCTGTATTTGCATCAATTACAGATCGTAACAAGAAGTTTTCAAGTTTTATATAAAATCACCCACTACAATATATGGTTTGTTTTATTTCTAATTCTGCCAATAAATATCGGTGTTTCCGGTGAGTTGACAGTTAATTAGTTGGCTGGCCTTTGTTCAGTCGTATCGTTGTGTAGCTGCACAAATGATTGAAAGTCAGCTTGTTAATTGAGTGGCGTCATTCAATTAAAGGGCAAGCCGCCCAATTGATCGCCTGATTATTCTACTTGGCTGTGACACATAAATATAACGATATTAGTTTTTGATGAGCGTGTCGTCAAAGCGACGCCATGACAGAAGATGGCGTTTTCTCAAAAAAATATAAATAAAATAAAAATATGAAAATCGTCTACACCCCTGTTACTTGAACGCACAGAAATTAACTTGACTTGAAAAACGTAATAATAATAATTAATAAACGTAAATATGAGGATGCGACTATAAGAGAGACAACACTTAGTTTCTGCATGCATAGTTTCCCCTTATCCGAATTAATAAATGTCGTTAGACAGAATGTTTAATAAATAATTATGTTTTTACTCGGCATCGAGGTGGAGGCATCGGTTGTAGGCATAGCGGTTAGGCCAGCCGCAGTCAGCCGATGACCCGGTTCCAAGGGAAGTCCGAGCAAGGTGGGGAGCCCGTGTTCCATCGTTGTGGTTTATTCATCTATTTGTAACAAAATATATACTTTCTTTTGTATTTTTATTCTGAACGGTAGGTACATATATAAAAAAAAACATTAATTATAAAATGTGTACACATATCAAGAACAATAATTCTATTATGTTCAAAATTATTATCGATATGTATTTTTATGCTTCGATGTGATAAAAATATGCAGTAGTTTCGTTAAGTTTTGGCAGTATTGTGCGATTAATATGTAACTGAGCAACAACTATCGCGTTATAATAATAACACATCTATGTTATGTCATTCTAATCTTGATTGACACGATATGCCATCTTAACATCAAACTTAATTCTATTAATTGAATGAAATTTATTTTGTATGACATAAAATGAGCTTAGCAAGTTTGTATCTATGCTTTCTATAGTCCTCCATGGTTTATAGTAATCATTAGCATTTTATACAATATTGTGAAATTTATCCGCTCGATTTTAAACTTTAAGAACTTGGGGGTAGATATCAAATCAATATCCGAAACATGACATATTGTGGTAACCTGACGTGCAGCCGTATGTACGTTTCTGTAGTTAGCGCTACCACCAAGACGGGTTTCCCGCCTACGCGACATAATGGCGCCACCGCCGCCCGGCTGGACCCGATTAATACAATAGTTAAAAGCCACTCGCAGTCGCTTACCGCTTCATGACTCGAGTGGATGATTTTGGTTTTGCTCGCCCCAGCCAACATTAATTTTGATATAACAAAAAATATTTTCTCATTAACTGGAAAAGGAGGTGGAGTTCTATTATAACATTAGTCATTTTATAATCGAACTCGACGTTACCTACTTGCACTGAATAGAAATACCTTCTTAATTAATATTGATAAGGCGTAAGAGATATAAACATGAGCATCTGTAGGTAGGTATAAGTAATTAATACACAAATACGTTGTGTAACATGGCATTTGAATGATGATGCAGAGTGAGCAGAGATCCCCGTGCCGCACGGCCCAAGGTCGTGGCGTGACGTATGAGCTCGGCAACAGGCGAGAACGCCAAACAACGCAACAAGTGCCCCGCGCCCCCGCGCTTTGCGTGCCATTTGCGAACAGCTGTCATAGCATAGTAGGTATTAACTACCACTTATGCCGACGTATATGAAAATGGCGATACTTTTGATTGTGATTAATGTGGTTCTTAGAGTGTTATTAAATTTATCAGTTTATCGCGCAAAAACACCGAACTTTTATTAAAAAATAAGTTTTTGGTTTAATTCTTTTTTCTCTGATTCGTTGCATTCTCTGAGTATCTGGCTGGTGTGATTAGTAAATAGTATTTGTGAGAAGTATCGCCAAGTCGGTGTATCGCCTGTTTCCTGCAGGCTGTACGCAATAGAGCTATTGGTGCCTACTATCAGCGAGCGCGTGCGTCATCGCCTCCGCACTACTGATAAGCCTCCACCAATTATTATCATTGCAAATAAGTATGAGTATGTTTATACTTTCGTATTCAGTAGGAATAATAAATACTTATATCTCGGAGTTTCCTCCACAATGTCGTACAGTTTGTGATTATTACTGATTTAAAACGTGTTAGTGGTATGTTATTTATTTCTGCGGGTAATACTTTGTTATATAAAATATTTGATAACAAGGTCTCTCCGATAGTTGAGTTCAAGCGATAAGCTAAATATAGGAAAGTTGCCATTTGACGCTAAAGAAAAGATACCCGAGATGATTACTTTCTGAATTTATCATTGGTGTATAAAATTGACTGAGTTATAATTTTCTATTATAGAGAATGTTAATGTTAAAATGACGCTTGTATACAAAGCCAATAACCGTTCTAGTCGAGCGCAACCGTTACGAAATCAGTGCTGCATGAAAATTACACTGCGTCGCTCGTGCTACCAATAGCTACTATGTAGGTTGGCATCCATGTTACTCCGACTTAAATATTTCCATAGTTTTGTAGTTATAATAGACAGGTGTAGAACATTTGAAAGCAAAACTAATTATTTACACAAAATATCAATATGTTTTACGTCATTATATTACTTCTCATGGTTACTTCACCCTCATTAAGTAAACGCCGATGCTACTTTAATCGCGGTGTTAAAGTCCGTGCATAGATACGTATAAATAGATTACGAAGAACGACCGATCCGGTTGCGGTGAAGGAGAGAGATAGATAAAACGCGACATGAATCACTACTCGCAGGGAGCACAGTCAGAGCGGCGCGCGGGTGGTGCGGGGGGAGCGGTCGGAACGAAACCAAACGACTCAACTGGTACAAACAGTTGTACAGTCATCCGCGCCGTGGTACCGTGTATCTTGCGTTGCTTCACTTGGTTCGAGTGTTAGCCATTGGCTACACTACACGTTCAAAAAGAAAATAAATATATATCTTGTTATCTATACCGCGATAATTAATTTGTGATAAAGAAAGTATCTAGTATCTATGAGGGGCAGAGTGAGACGAATGTGACGACATTACAGGTGTACGTGTGTGTGTGTATATGCGGCGTGGATCGTCGCGCAATTAATAACGATGATTCACTTGCGCGCGGGTGAAATGCAGCCTATCGGACTTGTTGACATTTATTCTGGAAGCGTAAACAAATGATATCAAGACAACATTAGTATAATGGTGGACTGACTCATTAAACCGCGGTAAGATTTTAGAAAGTTTATTAACTAGTAAAATTAATCTGAATATTGTAAATAATGAGGTATTCTCAAAACATTGAGATATTAAATATGTAATTGACATATTTATTTGAATATTGCTTAGTATTTATCGATGATAGTTAATATGTGCAGAACAGAAACATTGTCAATATATTTTTATAGTACATATTTCATGTTAATCCCCTATATATTTTTAATAACAATCTTTTTCAAATTATTATTTGTAATAATCGTATTATCCTAAGCGATTGCTCAATAAGGGTTTGGTATTGGTATACGATATTACCATTTCTTAACTTTTATTTGCATATAAAACTACTCTAGCATAGTCGATGCGTGGTGGTATATATTTTGATGAATTACATATAACCTAGTAGTCTTTTACATTGAATCACTGAAATATATCATGATAACAAATTATACACTGTGACATCAGCAGGCAAGAGTCAATAGTGATAAGAGCTTGATAAGCGTTAAAATATTTATGAAGTGAATATTCATGAGTTATCCCAATTTTTGTTACTTGACAGAATTAGGTAATTAATAATAAATATTACCTGGAACGTACAAGCTTGTTTGTACTACATTAACTTTATAACAATTAATATAGCTACTAACAAATTAACTTTCAATCGACTGTCAAATAATATTTAAAGATAAATATATTACATTGCAACATTCAATACATGCAATTATGCAGTATAAATTATATACATATATATAGTATACAAAATACAAGAGTACAAGAGTAATACAAGAGTAGAGCTATAAATCTAGTTCCCAAAGCTTCATATCTGGGATTTAACTTATAATGAAATGGAAATAAGTGGCATGTTAGTTTTTGCGAACATAATGTATGAGGTATAGAGCTGTGGCACGGCGGCGAGCTGGCGGGGCCGCAGGCGTCACCAGGGCCGCCTGGCCTGGCGCCAGGCCGGCGGGCGGCGGTCGACACCCGGGATTCCTTTGTTTCATTACAACACTTGTACACAACCGCTCACTTACTAGACAACTTTTTGTATATTTATTGTACCAACCTTACGAACTGCATTATCTTAATGTTGCGGAATGCGATTTCACTTGAATCTATAATAGGAATTTAATTGTTCATAATCATTAAAAATAGTTTACGTTGTTTATCTATCGTCATTTGTTAATCAATATGGTATCGCAAACGAGAATAAAGAATGGCTCGGTTGTGTAACCTGTAGAAGTGTGCGTGTCGCGTAACGTCGGTTATTCGCTGGCTCGTTGTTAGCGAGCGGTTTACTTGTCTCCGGTTCTCAGAAATTGTAACGCCTTCTCGGAACGCACCAACGCAGCCGTCCACAGGAGGCTAGTGAGCGCAAAGCGAGGTCGACGTCAAACTCTCACAGGCATTCGGATTGTGCCTACCTACACCCACACTAGTAACAGAGTTCATTTCGTTCGCCCATACCTGCTGATATCCATTATTGTTATATTTGAAAAAAAAACATACTTGTGAATTATGTCAGTTTTATTTCGCAGGTAACAATATTCTGTTTAGTAAATATACTAGATAGTTTCTGGTATCTTACTACTGTTAGACATAGACATTAATTTAAAATAAATTAGCATGTATAGGTGAGTGGGGATATCCTCGTTTTTAACAAACGTACGCTACTTTGAGACTAAGTGACGATGATGTCACATTGTAAACCAATAGAAAAAACATAACACATGCGCATTGCGTCAGGGTTTGAGTAGTTTCTTATTTTGAATATTATTTAGTCAAAAGTATTAATGTTTATGATAACCTGAAATAAAAGTTATATAGATTTCTATTGTCTTTTCAGATTGAAAAAACGCGGGTAAGATGCCGCTTACACAAGAAAAACGTCTCGACAGCAACTTCAACAACAATGACCAGAGCTACCTTCACAAGAAATTTAAGAAAATGGCATCTACTATTTCTGTTTTTCCGACCAATCCAAATAGGGTCGGAGAAAGCATACATAAAGAGATAAATGTAACTAACTGTAATAATTTGATTTCTAATGGGAGTATTGCATCAAACCACCCTGAAATAGAAAAAATAAAATTAAGACAAAATCAGCAAATATGCGATGAGGTTGAGAAAAATGTACAAACTAATTTTAACGATGAAAATAGTAGATTAAGTAATGTAAATAATAATGTTCAAGTATCTGGTCAGACCAGTTTTACAGATGAATTTTCAAATAAGACTGATAACCTTGAGAATGATTTTATCAAGGAATCCTATAATGGTGGAATAGGAGGACGTTATATATGCCCCTACTGCAAGCTATCCTGTGCCAAGCCTTCTGTGCTACAAAAACATATCAGAGCCCATACAAATGAGAGACCTTATCCTTGTGTACCTTGTGGTTTCGCTTTTAAGACGAAATCAAATCTATATAAACACTGCAGATCGCGAACACATGCGTTGAGATTACAAGGATCTGATGTTTCCATGGCTATAAACGATGAAGATTTATCTGGTGGATCAGAAAGCGATACATCTATGCCGCCGACGCCTGCCTCTGATTTTGGTTCAGATGCATCGAATACCCGCCTTGAAAACTTGAGACCTAGAGAATTTTCATCCCCAGAGTTGACTAATGATTCCATAACACAAACCAATGCTAACTTTTCCACATGTGAAAACAAATTGAGATCGATTTATAAACCAAAATTTAGAGCCGCTTTTTATCCAGACGGTGATGACAAAGATAAAATAAAAAAGACGATGTCACCAAATGCAGATTTTCTTACAGAACATATCTCTAAAATTATATCAGATAATGAAGCTATTGTTGACGTTATAGAGACACCTTTACAAAAAAAATATGGTAAAATAAAGCAAATTGCGGAAAGTAAACAATTCTTACATGAAAATTTAGATTTAAAACTAGATTCAACACCGTTAAACTTAACAAAAAATAGTGATCAAAATGAAAGTAGTTTTAGAAAGAGATCACATTCCGAAAGTTTTTCTCAAATTGATTACCAAAAGCATCCATTGAATCCTGAAGGATCTATAATAAAAGATCTTTTACTTAAAACTAAAGCTAATGGATTAGCTACTGCAACAGGTGAAGTGGAGGGACAAGGGCAGTTGTTTGTTTGTCCTTTATGCCAAATAACTTATAGAAGTGCTGACAATTTGGAAATTCATAGAATGTATTATTGTAAAGGAAGTCTTATTACTGCAACTAGCGTTAATCAAAAAAAAGTAGCGAAACCAGAAAACATTTTCGTCAGAAGCAATTCCATCAATGTACGTTTACCAGAAACGCAACCATCGTTTTCTAAGATGAATGCAACAAAATCGACTCCTTTGAGGACTAAGCCTGATAATCTCATCATTACGAAGTCTGAATCAAATGATATTGTAGCACCGTTGCCATCGCCTGGACCGTTACTTGGAAATACTCGGCTTGTGGATGTTAAAACTTCAAATGATATTTCTAGAAAAACGGATAATAAGTTGAAACCTATTGCTAGTCCTAAAAGAAGAATAGATGGCAGAGCTGATACTTATAGTCCGAGACTATTAGAGAATGCTTCTCCGCGTTCTGTGGATATTTATTCACAACATAAAATAAGGTGTATTGATACAAGTACGACGGGACTACGAATGATTGAAGAACTCGCACCACATATGAGACATAACTCCACATCACTTCAAATGTTTGGCGGTGAAGTAAAAATTGTGGACCACTCAGGCGGTACTACCACTTTAAGAATAGAGCCTAGTAAAAACCAACTATCGCCGATTCTAATTCAACAAAGTCTGTCTCCGTCAAAACTTGCAAATGACTCTGAAGCAAGTAGTGTTGTGGTTCGTTCCGGTTTACATTCTGGAGGAACAATCATGCATAACCCTCCTACTCCGAAAGAAGTACTTGGAACACCACAGCCACCTACTCCTAGAATTTCTATATCGACTGCGCCTAGTATATCCAGTGCAAATCTTCCGAATTTACATGATATAACACATTTTCAATTTCCACCTCTAAGTGCTATTACAGCTTACAATCCATTAACTTTGCCGCCTCTCAGTCCCTCATCATCTCCGAATGGTGCAACAACTATTTTGCATGGTGGAAAACTTATACCTCATGTCCCAGGTATGCCAGGTCCGAATACTCCTGGTGTTTATGTTGCAACCAATCAGATGTCCTCAAAAACATTAGTGAATGTTGAAACTATTAAAGCGCCTGTAAAATTACTTCATGATGACTTGGTGTCCATGAATGTACCATCAAGTAAAACTAATACAGTTTCCGAGACGTTGTCTAGCAGGAATTCTAATTTAAAATCAGTTCACTCGGAATCGGAAAATCTTAAAAAACAAGAACATTTACCAACTAGTAGTGTGCCACAATATAACTCACCGGTTCCTATAATAAAGGTGAAAAATGTTGACGATACGGAATCAGTGAAAATATACCCATTTGGTTTAAACAAATCGCTTAGTACAAAACAAGATGGAGCCGTAAAAAGAACTTCCGACGGCATACCGAAGACTCTTATTTTAAAAGATAATTCAAATTCTTTAACAAGCAAGATCAAAAGTAAAGAAAGAATACATTCTTCCTTTAAACTGAACAATTCGGGCAAAGCAGAAACTGAAATCAGAAATTTTAATTTTGAAAATTTAATAACTAAGGCTGAAATATATAATAATCAAATTCCTTGTTCAATGGATATTCAAAAAAGTAAAAACACACAAGATTCTGATGCAACTTCTACTCAAAATGAACGATCAGAGACCTCATATTTTCAAAAAAGTACTATCGCAAAATCTGCCACAGAAGAAAGAAAGCCTAAATTTCTACGTCCAACTACTTTACCTTTAAAACCAGGAACGTTTACACCAAAAAGGCATCATGGAATTACACCTAATGCTAATACGATGCCATTAGTGTCCCCTGAAACACCCAGACCGGCTAAAGCTTATGGTCAACTTTATTTGAATGGCAACGCATATACATATTTGGGATTAAAATGTTCAACTAAAGTATTTTACTGTACGATCAATCGTCCTCAGCCGACTTATGTGCCAAATCAACACTTTTTATCGATGTACAGTAATTGGCAGGTAAATATAGACCTTAATTTATATTATTTTAAGAATAAAATTGCTTGCATACTCAGTAAATCCGTAGGTAATTAAGATAATGTATACAACATATAAAAATACTGTAATGTTAATCATAATTGAAAAATAATATAACAACTTGATTTTTTCCAGTTATTATCTGAATTGACTCCAGACCCACTCGGATTGTCTGCATCATCTGCAATGTCTCTCTACGACTCACGTCATCGACCACAGTGTACGGCTGTTTCGGTCATCAAACAGGATCTTATACTGACTCATTCGTCGCAGTGGAATAAAAATACGAAAGACAGTAAACAGGTATGGTATATAACTACTTACATAATTTCGTAAGATATTTAATATTCAATTACATTCCAAAAGACCACAATTTATAGTTAATATACAGTGGTTCCTAACCCCTAAGTAAATCTGCTACCTATTCTATGGCGGTAACAAATAACCCAATAAATAAGACTAATTAAACCCTCTTAATGTGGAACATGATTTAAGACGCCCTTACAGCGATAATAATAGAACTATTAGATTTACCTATAAAGATATTAAGAAATAAAAAAAAAATACCTATCTGATATTTTCGATATTGATTTTAAATTTTATATATTTTTCAGTCAATATTATCAGTGGATACTAAAAGATCAGATGAAAATAAAAATTCAAATCCCGATAACGCGCAACCAACAAGAAAAGAATTAACTGGAGGATTTGAAAGTAATGAAGAATATACTTACGTGCGCGGAAGAGGCAGGGGCCGCTACGTCTGTTTGGAATGTGGGATACGTTGCAAGAAACCCTCAATGTTAAAGAAACACATTCGTACTCACACGGACGTACGACCTTATACCTGTGTACATTGTTCTTTCAGGTACATTCTTAATTATCCTATTTTGATTCCTCTTCACATAGCAGTACTATATATGTAGAATAGGAAAGACATTGAGTTAATTGTAGATTTTCATATTCCAGTTTTAAAACCAAAGGAAATTTAACTAAGCATATGAAAAGTAAAGCTCACTACAAAAAATGTTGCGAGTTGGGCATAAATCCAAACGAAGGAAATGACGGTGAAGGTGGGGAGATGAATCAGTGCTCTGGTGAAACAGATGACGAAACAGATTCCGAAGGTGATGAAGGAAATGAAGGAGAAACCGAATCTAGTGGTGAGTTCAAATTTGCCAAATTACGCTTTAATAAAAATGTAAGACATGCATTTGTTAAGATTATTTTTAATAATGACAATTATGCTGGTTTCTTTACAGATACTGAAGCTTGTAAGTCTCGATTGCCTGAGCATGAAGCTGCTCATTGTTTATTGTCTCTGGGAGGATCAAGACCGACTACATCAGCTGCACCTGGTCTGTTGACAAGTGCACGACCATCCACGTATCCATACACCCCTACAGGGTTAGATAATTTAACATTAGAACAAAGTCCTGAAAAACAATTATCACGAAGTGCATCAGTAGATTCGCGAATAGACTCTGAAAATGAACCGATGGATCTGAGTAAAAATGATGCAAAAACGCAACCACATTTACCTGAGATACCGACTGCTCGAGAATCGAGTGTATTAGCTTCTTTAGCTTCAAATACAGCTAAACTTCCACAGCCTCAAACACAGTGGTCGAATGGAGAGCCAATGCTTCACACCTATTTAACAGAAAGAGCACTACTGGATTCTAAAATAAAGCAGAGCCAACTAGCATGTAATTTACCTAAAATAAGGAAAGTCGACATGGACAAATCGTTATTCGCTGAAAGTAATACTAACACTGAAAACGAGAAAAAGCCAGTGATAACTACTAAAAATAATATCATACCTGTGACGACACCCAAGATAGTTACTTTTACGAAACAGACAAGTGAAAGTCAAGATCAAGTTAATCAAATAACCGCCTGTAAAGAAGAAAATACAATAACAAGAGATTCTCCTGCTCCTATAAATAACACAAGTGTCGATTCTAAAATAATTCATGCTGCAGGTAACACTAATGCAGAAAACGCAAAACATGTTGTTTCTGAATATTTGAAACAAGCCAGAATAAATTTATTGAATTCGCAAGACGAAATTTTAAATAATACAATCGAAAGCTCTGGCGATGATAGTAACAATGTAAAGATAAACGTTATAGAAGCGGCAAAAGGTGAAGAATCGAACACTTCCGAAGCGGAATCGATTAAACTACCATCGTTAGATCACGATCCTGTAGCACGTAAAGTCGTCATAGGGGTCGGAGGTGTCGCATTCAAAGTATCGAAAGGCAAAGAATTTGAAAACTCTTCGTCTTTTCCACCTGGCAGGCTGATGGAAGACGGTCGTAGAGTATGTGATTTCTGCAACAAGACGTTTACTAAACCTTCACAATTACGTCTCCACCTCAATATTCATTATATGGAGAGACCATTTAGATGTAGCGTCTGTGCAGTCAGTTTCCGTACAAGGGGTCACCTTCAGAAGCACGAGCGCTCCGGTTCTCATCATAATAAAGTTTCTATGACATCTACTTTCGGTGCAGCGACTTCGTTTAATCCCAGACCGTTTCGTTGTTCAGATTGTAATATAGCATTTCGAATACATGGGCATTTAGCGAAACATCTTAGGAGTAAAATGCATGTGATGAGACTCGAGTGCTTATTCAAATTACCATTTGGAACATTTACGGAGATTGAACGTGCCGGTGTTAGTTTAACGGACATTGATACTACAGATTGCGCCAGTTCTCTTGCGAGTCTTCAGTCGTTAGCTAGGAAACTGCACGAGAAAGACCCTACCAAATTGGAATATCGAGAGCCTTCCAGCTCAGCGATGAGCGGTGTTCCTGCGAGTCGGGAATCCTCTGAAGACGACGACGCTATGAGTTGTGAAAAAACATGTGACGATGAAAAAGACAGTGAAAATAGTGAAAGTCAAGACAGAGATACACGAGTTATATATAGTGCCACAGATAATTAGTGCCAAACTAAGTTAAGTAGGTTATTTAATGTGCAATTTGTTTTTGTTGTTTATTTAAGATGTAATTATTCATAATGGGGTTTGACTCGGAAGTGTGAAACAGAACAATGCGCTTTAATTATTATATTGTACGTATTGTTTCAATATGATTTTTGCGTCGTCTTGTAAATAATTTAAATAGTTTTAAAATTGTTAAATTTGCTTCCATTTTAGTGTATAAGTACATTTGTTACTAGTAATTTTTAATAGATATTTAAAAGATTTCTTGGAACCTAGGAACTACATCATAAGAAGTTATTTACAAACTTCCTCTCAAATAGTGAAGAAATCTTACAGAACATATTATGTGGTCCATTGAAAGGGAATGAAATACTTGAAATATCAATAAAACATATTACAAAACATAAAAATATAATCAAGTATATCTCAATAAGTACCATAAAACTTTTTGTATGTATTTTTATAAATATTATAGTGAGTATTTATACTGTAAAATAACAACGACTTCCAATCATCTTATCTTTGAAAATTGGCATATCAACTTCCATAAACGAAAATTAGATATATACTGGTACTTGTATAAAATCCTTAACAAGTCTTCCATATCAAAAATAGTTTTTGTGCTAGTTATTTGTTCATACTAATAGCATATATTAATAAATTTGGGTGTATTTGAAATTTCAACACCCAATTTATATCATTGTTTGTATTATACTATCAAATAAATAGGTATTTACTCGATATTATTGTTCATCGAGGAATTTAGATTATAATAATAATGTACTTTGTACATAATATGTGCAAAATATAAAGCCGTATATCGTATAACAAAGTGGAAACTTGAAACTAATGAATACATACATTTATTACTATATTTTTAAATGTTTTAAAGGCGTAAAGGAATTGCGTTAGTTTTAAATTTTCACTAAATATCTAAGTAGCATCTACTTATAAAAACAATTGCTTAGTTATATGATTAATTCCAAAATATCTACATGTAATGTCATATTTTTGTCTCATGTCAACGTTTTAAAATGGTACATTCAATAAGTTCGTTTGTATTAAAAAGATCAGAACTGGGTTTCATATATGTTTTATTATTTTTACGCCCTTAAATATTGAATATTTATTTTATAAGGACTAAGTCATAACATCGCTAAACTGTCGTATCCTATGGCTAGAATCAAGGTTAGAGAGTTAGGCCGTTGCATCATCACCTTCGAACTAGACACATCAAACATGTACGAAAATATCAACTTTAAGGATGCTAGAGCCACAGACTGGAGATTATATAAACAAAATCTCCAGGATTAACTTACGGACATACCTAAATCTATACGAATATGTGAAGCGCTAGAATACACACACTGTCGATCAAATAACCGAAGCTATGAAAGCCTCCAATGAGGAAAGTTGCCCACTCAAGATCAACAGGGACAACAAGATACCACGGTGGAATATCAAACTCAGTAAACTGAGGCAAGAAACGCGTAAACTATTCAATAAGGCAAAAACGACCGGAAACTGGGACCGATATTCTAATGTCCTAACCGCGTATAACAATGAAATAATAAAAGCAAAAAGACTATCGTGGAGAAAATTCTGCGAGGAAATTAACAGAATATCTCAAGGAGCTAGAATCCATAGTCTTAGCTAAATCACCATCTAATCAACTGGGACTACTAAAGAAACCAGATGGAACCTTCACTGAATCTGAGGAAACACTAGAACTCCTAGCGTCAACACACTTCCCATCCCACACAGCTCGGTATTAATACCTAAAGATACTATAAATACCATGCCTTATAAACACATCTCCAGGCCTACAAATGAAGACTGGAAGAGAGCAGCAAATCACATCAGACCAAATATCGTAAACTTAACAATAAGAGTTTTAAACTATATAATCTGCTGGTGAGGATGACGTATTTCCAGCCCTACTGCAACAAGGTACAGACATCCTCACACCTATTCTGGTAAGTCCTTAGGACGAGTTACGCTTAGGGATATATACCAGAAAATGGACAACGGTTAAAGTCCGGTTCATTCCCAAGGCTGGTAAAAAGGATTATGCCCAACCGAAATCCTTTAGACCAATAAGCCTAACCTCCTTTCTACTGAAAAGTATGGGAAAAGTGATTGACATATGCAAAAGAGATGGACCCTTAAAATCGTCCCCTGCATGCAAAACAACACGCTTATCAAAAAGGCAAATCCACTGAAACTGCCTTATTTGAACTTATAGATAGGATCGAATGGGCCATTGAAGACAAACAGATAGCTCTCTGTGTCTTCCTAGACATTGAAGGAGCATTCGACAACATTACCATTAAAACCTTATCCAAACGAATGAGGGACAAAGGTATCGACAACACAACAACCAAATGGATCGAAGCTATGCTCCCAAACAGAACAGTTAACGTTAACCTGCACGGAACAACAGAAGATCTCAAAACCACAACTGGTTGTCCTCAAGGCGGCGTCCTATCGCCACTGTTATAATAATAATAAATCTTTATTTCAGACCCAATGATCCATATTAAATTACAAATTACAGAAACATGATTCCAAATAAAAATATTACATAGTTTGATATGGCTTTATAATACATAGATTCAGGTGACAATATCCAACCATCGTCTATATGTTGCAGTTTCCACAAGTCTTTCGACTAGACCCTTTACTACAGCATTATCAGACCTGTCGACTCTGGACATGAAGGATGTTATTCTCATACGCTGAATAGCCCTAAACAAATAGATATGATTTTTTGTGAACATTTCTGAAGCACTGCAATAACGTTTCAGTTTCATTAGATGTCGAAAGATGTTATTATACGTTACTCGTATGCCATCATGTGCTTTTTTCGAGTTCAGTTCAAAGTTGACACGTATTAAAATTTAGGCAAAAGGACCTAAAGAGCGTCTATTTCACATCATTAGAAGCATTACAATACTTTCGGGCAATCATATTACCCACCACACAGAGCTCTACGTTGCCGTTTAATATCGGCATCATCTGGTTGATCAATTGTTATTACAAGCCTCTGAAAAAGGCATATACAAGGCTACGCAGACGACGTGGTAGCTTGCGTAATTGATCCATGTCAAAGCACAGTATACGGAGATCTCTGAACATCATCGACAAATGGTGCACAGAGAATAACCTATCCGAGGTAAATCCGAATAAAATTGAATTAACTGGGGCAAAAGAATAAAATTATTCCTAAATGGGTACCAGGACACTCGGGCATCATAAAAGCGGATGAATTAGCAAGGGCTGGAGCATAGGAACTACAAATAGGATCAGAGCCATTTTGTGGTATGTCAAAAAACCATGTGATGCAAATTCTAAAGAATGACCTACAAGGGGATAAAAAAAATACTGGCAAAAAAGCCGGGATTAAATCACGCTAAATCCTTAACTGAAGGTCATTCACAAAAAATAGCTGAAGAGCTCTTGAAGCTAAACAGCAAATATAAGTACAATGGTACGAACCTTATCTGGACACTGCAAATAAAACAGACTCCTATTTAACATGAAACTAAGTAACACTAACATTTGCAGATATTCCAAACAGGAACGTGAAACACAAAACATCTCCTGTGTGAATGTGGACCACTGATCCACAAACGAAGCATACATCTGGGACGACATATAATCAGCCCAGAAGATATAAAATCTCTAAAAGCCAAGAATATTATAGACTTTTTGAAGTCTACTTGACTAAAGGAGTTACTATAACTCTGGCGGCGAGTCACAATAGATCTTTAAGGTCGTTTCAGTTTCTCAGGGAACTACATAGCCCCTTACAACAATAAATAATAATAATAATAGGCCGTTGCACGTCGTCATTAGTACTTCAACATACGAAACATTTTAGTCATGAGCCTTCCATCTATCATTAGTTAAAATCATAATCGCGAAAAAAGATACTGAATATTATTTCTAAAAATCATTTCTAGAAAGGCATTTCTAAAAAGCCCAACTCCTTTTTACGCATGATTTTGTCTAAGAATAAGCGATAAGGGTGTCCACAATTATATTTTTATTTTATACATGGAATATATAAAAAAATAATTTTATTTTCAAAATTTCCCGCGGAAACGACATCTTCTGTCATGGCGTCGCTAATGCGTTACCACCATCTCAAGCTAATATCGTTCTATTCATGTATAAGGTTCAATTCTATATAAGTTCATATGAGTAGAGGGTATACACGTCACGCTCTGTTTGCAGTCACGTGACGAGTATAAAATATTTGTTTTTTTTTTCATAATTAATTTAAGCAATATTACAAATATACGAAGCATAAAATTTTGATTATCGGTAATAGTATAATAAACACTAACAGAAAAAGTCTGTATTGTTTTTACCGTCTATACCTGTATCGATTAGAGTAGTAGGAAATCTAGGATCCATTAAACGTCATACATAAATTACTAAATCAAATATTATAAAAGATATAGTACATATGTCGTTTTAATTAATTATATCTGGGATTATAATTTCCCGTGGGATTTAGTTGTTACGTGTAATGTGTAGATGGTACATTGAAGATCTTGTTGAAATAAAACTGCATTGTATTACAAATAATTTTATATTAAAAACTAGATATGATAAACAGGCAGATGCTGTTAGGTAAAAAAAAGCTCTGAATGACTTCTGGAAAAGTTTTTGTGAACATTATCAAATATTTTGTGCTACCTATCGAGTAACCACAACTGATAGGGGTCCCTTACTCTTTACCGGTAAATAATTTTGTAGAAAGGGTAGAATACGGATAGAAAGATCAGAGCTCTTTTCCGATGACAGCTGCAATATACCTTCTATATTAAAAAGAAAAAAACGCTTTCTATTTATTTTTAAATAGAACGCGTTTATTTTGTTTTGTTGTTATAAATGACTTATATTTAGTTTGCTCCTGCCGCATTTTTGTTATCGTGCATCAAATACAACCACTGGAGAATAAGTTAAGAAAATTCTTAAGTATAATAATAATTTTAATTGTACAAATTTATAGCGCAGATAAAAGCACACGACCATAGATTTTTTATGTATAACACAGGGAAATAACAAGATCGGCAAATTAATAAATATCCTAGGAAATTTATAAACTTTCATTGTATTTTGAACAAGAGATAAATTGTATTACTTTATGTCCACATTGAACATCAATATTTCGTAAATCAATAAACTTTTCGGACTCACACGTAAAATAATAAGTAATCAATAACTAAACGCCATTTGCGCTCCTACTGGTTGAATAAGTCACGTGTTACTTCTGTTTCCTCTCCAATACTGTTAGGTATGTAATCGAAACTGATAATTGCAAGTCCTACTCACTACACCCATGACGGAATTTAAAAAAATTATAAATTTCCTTGGAAATTCATAAACTAGCGGATCTTGTTATCTTCCGGTGACATATATATATATATACACTGTCTGTTACTGAAAAAAAATATCGAGAGCGAAAACGTGTATCATTACAAAAAACCTATACTTTTGTAATCATCAAAACCTATACATTTGTGATCATATATGAAACCGTTTCGCAATCGATAAGCTTTTCGTATCCAGCCGTCAGTAGGAATTACGGAGAAAATATAAGGAATGGCATAAGTGGGCACTATGATACTAGACAGATGGTTCATTACATTCTAACGCATCCTTCCGTAAGACGCTTGACGGGTCTTCCGTAAGATATTTACCGACCATAAAATGCAAGTGGCCGGAGTGGAACGTCACCACGGTCAAAATTTGCTGCATAGAAAAATCATTTTACAACAATTATTCTTTGTATTTGCGCCCCTACCACGGAGCGAATACAAAGAATAATTAAGACGCAGAATTCGAGGGGTGAAAAGCTAGGCAATTGGTTAAAGCGACATTTTTGGAGATATTTAGTTATATACATATGTAGAGTAAGATAAATTAACCCCTACAATTTAAGCTAGACAACAGCAAAATAAGTCACAAGTGGCTTTAATTGATTGGCATCAACATGCCTACTTGTTCTCTTAAGTAAACAAAAATAGAACTAATTATTAAATTTATACTTTTCACACAGCTCTTTGACATTAGCTTT